AGCTTGACCTTTTTCCATATCCCAAGATCTTTTTTGCAGGATATTAAGCCTCTATAATAGACCTTGACTCTAATTGATGAACTAATAAGGGGAGGGGTGAATTGGTTCTTACACTTTTTCCAACCTTTTTCATAACAACAAAACACACTTAGGATATGAAACCCTAATCTATCACAGTTTGTTTGAAAAAAATTCACAACCACAAGGACACCAAGTGTTTACAAGGAAAACCCCTCTCAATAAGGATTAAAAACCTTGGTTCTTTGGTACAAAACAAATACAACATCCACTAGTTGTAATGCAAGTAGGTACACATTCAGCTGCCTCTCACTATGTATACACCTAGCTCACAACATGTGCTCACAGCACTCCCCCTGTCCTAAGCACCCCTGCTATAACGACCCTGGATTTTTCAACCCAGTGTGTCACCTATGATGACCCAAAACAGGTCTAAGATGTGGAAGCAGAAGAAGAAAAATGGCCTCAAGGGACGTACGTTATCCTTAAGACATCAAGATCACTCTCCGTTGACCCATGAAACTCAAATGAGCCAAGCAAATGAAGCAAGAATGCCTAACCCGAAAGGAAATGAACCAAGGGTAAAGTGGTCATTTCACACTAAAATGGGTGTTGCCGTGCACACCATTAGAAAGACAACAAAATATGAACAAAGTTAGACTCAAGAATCGCCTGATTCTGAGTCCGAACGGAAAAGATATGAATGAAAACAAAATGACTTTCTCCGTTCAAGGATTACCACGACCCTATCTCATTAGAACTGGAATAACTCCCTCTATAGGTGGAGTTTTGATGAATGGTTGGCACCATTGGAATGCTGACTTCGAGCTCTTGAACTTAGAATCAAGAATGACCAAATTTGGATCTGAAATGAAAGAGTTATGACTTTTTGAAGTCAATGCAACAAAGCTGATCAAGGAAAAACTGAAATGGGAAGTTCCAGGGAGGATCGGTCGACCGAAATATAACCATCAGCCAGCCAAAACTCAACTGTCGGTCGGCCAAACCCCAATCATCAGCCGGCCAAAACAAGGTTTTTCAATAAAGGCCTACTGGAATGGACCCTCGAGCATATGTCAGCTGACCGATGGAGCTCCATCAGCCGACCCACACCTCTGCTGCTGCTATGGGAAGCTATTGCAATGGTGAAAATGGTGCTAGGTTCATCTCTATGGTTCTACATGCATCCTACATGATCTGAACAAGTTTTAAAACACTTTCTAGGCCCGTTCAAACATCTAAAACAAGCCAAAACAAGGAAAAGTTCAAATAACACTCTCATGCATGAATTTTCATGAAGATTTATGAAAATTGCCTAAAAATAGGTCAAAAGTTGAAACTCAAGGGCTTTGTGAAATATGCACATGCACGCAAACGCAAAAAGATATTTGAGATGCGTCCCAATGGTCCGTGGCTTCAAAATGTCAGGAAAGCAAAATATGACCTCTCAACGGCCAAAAATGCCTAAAAACACTTTAAATGGAACTACAATGTAAAACATAGAATGAAATGGTGTTTGGCCCTTGGCCATACCTCATACATGATCATAGAAACCCTATGAAAGAAAAATAATGGAATTCCCACACCCGATACAAAAGTTATGAAGAAATGACAGCATTTTTCAATATTTTCATAATATTCCTTGAAAACGAAAGTGTATAGAATACCAGATACATGTGATTGGCCTCCGGCCTCATTTGATACATGTTGAATACAATGACAAGAGTGTACTTATGCACACTTTACATAGATGGAATCGGAAAAATCAAATCTCATACTAGAAAATAAATAATCGAAAGTTCTAGATTTAATATCGTAGCATGTAAACAAGTTGTATATGCATCACAAGCATGCAATATAACAAGAAAATAAATTATAACACCCCCTACCTCGATTTGAGATGAAAATCTCAAAAGCCCACCGAAAGAAAAATGCTCCAAATCCGACGATACCGAAGGGTTTTGTCGGGGACAACATGATGAACAAGAATCCAAGGAAGCCCCATGAAAATCACAACTTGACTTCAAACCCAAACTCAAGAAATGGTCAGAAATGGATTCTAATAAGAAGGAAATGTGCGTGACATCAAGACAAGCACAAAACGCGAAGACACTATAACTTTTTAACAAAGGGAAGGAGGTTTACTTGAGAGAAGAAGGGTGGCAGCCCCCTTGGGTAGGCATGGATGCTCCTGGTCGTGCTTGAAGAGTGGAGGAGATAGCTTTTTAATTTTATAACCTCCTATTTATAGAAAATCTCAAAAAGTGCCCCGAAAGAGCCCTGCCGGGTCTGGAAAAGTGAAATTTGAGCAAACGCGCTCAAACGGCAAAACTATGTGAACAAAAAAGATTCAAAATGATAAAATATGAACAACGGAAGAAACGACGTCGAAAACTGAGTCCCGAGCAGAGAGATATACCCCGAACAAGTTCGGTGGCAACCGGGGTTCAGAAACTCTGAAACTGGAGAAAAATGATCAGAACGGAATTCTAAGAGTACACGACTTGACAAAATGTGAAAATGAATCCCGTACGAGGATCCAGGCTCCAGACGAGGTATTTTTGTAATAACTTTCGTTAATTGCACAATGGCCCCTACAAAAAGGGTTAACTGCGAAACTGCCCCAGAATAAAAATATCTTCCAAAAGATATTTTCTTAGATGCCCCTGAAATAAAATATCTTCAAAATATATTTAGGAAAAACACCCCAAGAAAAGAAAAAGATTCTGAAGAATTGTGCATTGATACCCCTATAGACACTTGGAGCAACTAGAGTACTTTCTTGCAAAAGTAAAGATACGTATTTCGAGGAAACCACTAAAGATGAAGACACATAAAGTCAAAAACCAACTCCGAGCACAAAAAGTGAAGTTGTGCCAAAAACTAACAAACAGAGAAAAGACAGAATAGGGAAAAAGACGAAACAGGGAAAATGATGAAAAGTGAATACTGTCCGAAAAGTGAAAATGTGGAAATGACTCGATCCTCAAAGGAAGTTGTCAATCTAAACGAAAGAGTTTCAGAAACCATTTATGACCACTCGAGATAACACTAAACGGCGAGAAATAGGACTGAGAAAGGAAAATTAAACGGAAAAAAATTTATCTGTAAAATTTTAGAAAAAAGGAAAAGAAGAAAAATGACCTGGTCATTACACCTGCTTAGACCAAATAAGTTCTCATAGCTCATCAAATGCACAATGAAAGATGTATAACAAATATACTAAACCTATTACACAAGATAAGAGTGACACTATAGCTCAAAGTATCCACAGCGCGAAATACTCAACTATCTTCTGCATAATTAATGGTCTAAAGGGTAAAAATGGAATTTTGCTTTACTATAGACTTAAACATAGTTCCCACAACCTTATATCAACAATATACATTTGCCAAATGATGGACTTAAGTAGAATATCAAGATATAACTAAAATAGTACACAAACAGGTTTGGTTTCAGCATAAAACCCTAACTATCAAGGTTTGGTACACCAGTTTTTGAAATGGTCATTTCTATGTTCAAAACTCACGTTGTATAGCCTCAAATCAACAATATAATCATGTTCAGATGGTAAACTATAAGCTCAGAGCAAGATATCAACTTTAAGTACTCAGATCAAAAGCTTAAAATATAGTTTCTACAGATGTCAAACAGTAAAATAATCTTGTCTTAACCTTCACAGTGAACCAGAAATACCTCCAATGAATTTAGACCTCTCAAACCTTGAATTAGCATCAGCAAATAGCTACACAAAACTTCCTCCAAGCATCAGTGACGTAATCTCTCACACAACAGGAGTCTAAGATGAATTGAAGCTCAAATATTAAATAAAAAACTCAGAAAACTTGGTCCATTTGGTCAGTCTCGAGATATGACTCAATGTAACTCACAAAGGTTTCAAAATACACTCTCAAGAGTCTTAAGGTTTGCTGCTGCTATAACAGTGTATATATATTAGTACACTGAGCTATAGTCTTGCCCTAATGAGGAAAGAAACATGGCACATTCCACCAATCATTAGTGAGGGAATATTCTAACATTCCTTGATTGAAAAGACCACAATGCCCCTGCCAACTTTGTAGTTTTTGTCTTTTAGTGCACCACCAATGTGACAGCTCACATGTATACATATATCTGATATATAAAACAAACTTGGTGCCAAAGAAATGAAGAACATTCCTCACTCTCTCATTTTAGGACCACTGAACACGTGTCAAGAAAAAGCTCTTCATACACAATGACCAAAATACCCTTCCAGAGTACAATTGTCAATATAAACAGAACTCTATGTTGCAACCTGTGTATACACAATCAAATTATATTTATGTGCTTTGAAAAACAATATAGCACCCAAGGTAAATATATAATGGTCCACAGGTGTGAAAAGACTATAATACCCCTGGCATTGACAGAAACCCTAAATACATAGTGTACTAGTAAGAAGACTATGTTTGGTTTGTAACCATGGTCCATGACAAAATATACCTTGCTTAACCAAATTAAATTGAGCTCTCATGAAATAGAAATGACCATACTGCCCTTGTATATCCCTAAATTATCCTAAGCATACACAATTCATAGCATATCACAGTAATGGAACTGTTATCAATACTTTTGACATTTAAAGGGCAAATCCTAAACGATAGCTGGACCAGCATATATTTATACACTAGAATTTTGGATCGAGTTATATTTAGTTACTTAATTATTTTCTTCTAACATCTTTTTTTTTATTAATTTTTTTTTTTTTGGTTGTATAAATCCCCTGAGGCCCGCTTTTTTATTTTCAAGGAATTTTTCGTTACTTGCTTGGTATATATGTTTAATCGTACGCTGCAGCTTGACTAAATCTTTACGTGTTGGATCTGAAAACTTATTAATGGAGACTGTTATGTTCAAGTTTTATCTCTGTTCCATTATTTTTTCCTTTGCTTCTGATGTGCTTCTTGTGGATATGATTAACTCTCGTAGTGATTTTTCAGTTCCGTTTAGGCATGGAGAGCGCATTGGTTTTAGTTACCTTGTAACCAAAAAATATTCTGGAGATAGTGCAGCGATTACAGTTCTTCGTGATTCTAAACCTTTGAAACTTGATATTAAACTTGCAACTCAAAGAAGGCTCATTCCGGTACACAACAAAGGCAGACCTCCCTCATATTATATTATTGCAGGATTTGTTTTTACAACTGTATCTGTTCCATATCTCCGTTCTGAGGTGTGCATTTCTCTTTAAAAATTTTGAACATGCGTTTGTGTGTATGAATGCATTGTGCATGAAAGATGAAAACTCAAACCTGTATTAGTGTTCTTACCAAAAAAAAAAAAAAAAAAAAGAAATGGATCACACATTATGTGAAATGCATCATAATATCTATATGCTTGGAATAAAAGGATGAAAATTCAAACCTATATTAGTGTTCTTATTGATAATGTTCTTAAAATGATGTAGCAAAAATTGAGGCCAGGCTTAAAATTACAAATCAGTTAGATTTCATGCTAGAAAATATGGCATTTTCTTCTAGCTAAAGAATATAATGGACAAACTTGGGATGTAATAATTGATCTTATTTAGGACATGTTTAGTGGCGTAGCATGATAAAATTTTAGTGATGAAACTCAAAAACCATGTGATCTAAGTTAATTAGTTAATCAAAGTAAAATTGTTGGAAGGTCAAAACATTTCAAAATCATGAATGTTGGTCATCAGGACTGTAAAAGAGCTAAACTGGTCACAAATAAGCCCAAACTTTGTGCATTTGATCATTCAAACTTGTGAGTTAAAAAAGCAAAGTTAAAGTTTAAGTTCAAAGCTCAATTATTACTTGAACCATGCTTTGAGCAAATTCTGGCTTGGTCTGTCTGAGGTTCTACACAACGAAGAATCTTACTCCTAGTAGTTATTAACTTTCTGAAACTAATTAAAATGCTGTACTAGAATGTCAACTGATTTCCAGTTCAAAATATTCAAAGACCATAGATTCATTAGATTTACCTTTATGTTTGCAACTTGAGTTATATTTGATCTCTCATGGGAGGTCAGGATGTTGGCCGCACATTTAGAGTTGGTTGTTGTAAGTGGAGATATTCTTTTGTTGTGAATCTTGTGTAGCTCTCATGCAATAAAATTTAGGAAAAAATATTTTTGATAAAAAATTTAAAACTAAGTCCGTAGACTTTATACCACGCATACAATTTAGCGATCTAGAAATTTTGTTTTGATAGAAAGTTCATCAGGAATTCATTATATCTCAAACCAATGGTCACAGTTGATAAATACCTTCTAGGTGGCAATATCCATTTGTAATTGGCTTGTGTGCACTCAGGTTGTCCCCTACCCTTTCATCTCTCTCTCTTCGTAATATTTCACAGAGATTGCATGAGAATTATGCTATATTTTATGATAAAATACAATTTTTTTTTTTTTTTTTTTTAATGATTCTTCTCACAGGTTTATCATTACAATACGTTGTCTCAACTATTTTATGCATTATTTATCCCCAGTTTGGTAATGAATATGGATATGAAGCTCCAGTAGAGCTATTGGACAAGCTTTTGCATGAATTGCCACAGTCAGAGGATGAGCAGCTAGTTGTGGTTTCTCAGGTTTTTCATGTTTACCTCTTTCATGCTTAATGATAGAAGTATGCTGATTCTGTTAATCATATTTTTTCTTTCAAATTTGTAAAAGGTGCTTGCAGCTGACATCAATATTGGATATGAGGACATTGTTAACACTCAGGTTTTGAACTGCTAATGGATGCAATTGCTTTTAATGTTGTCGCTAATTTCTTGAGCCAGTCATTTGCTGATTTTTTTTTTTCTCTTCATATTTGTGCAGGTTCATGCTTTTAATGGAAAGCCTGTGAAAAATCTTAAAAGTTTGGCCACTATGGTAGAGAGCTGTGATGAGAAGTTTTTGAAATTTGATTTAGCGTACAAGCAGGTTCTCTCTTTCTTTCTCTGTCCATCTCTCTTTGTGTGTGTGTGTGTTTATTCGCGCATGCACACACGAGTGTGTGAAGGATATGCATATTGCATTTCAACTATCCTTTGCTTATTGTTCTATTGTTCTATATGTAGATAGTAGTCCTTCAGACAAAGAATGCCAAATCAGCTACACTAGACATCCTCACAACATATTGCATACCTTCTTCCATTTCTGATGATCTCAAGACGTGAGATCAAGTTCTTCACGGGTATGCTAAATCTTGAATCAACAAGCATTGAACAAATAGATATCGAAATAACAAGGAACAACACTTAAAGGTTTCTGCAAAACAGACTTTATTATTACTAATATACATCTGTGTTACAGAATCCGATTCTCCACGGCGTTACTGTCCATCCTATTATCCAGCATTCCCTGACAACCGATCATGTGACCAAAGTTATCCAGGAACTGCCGCCTCAGGTCCTCCATTCTCTGAGCGAGTTTCATCCTGGCAGTTTCCTTGATTTTGATTTATTTTTAAAAAAATATATTTCCCCATTCCCTTGGAGCTCAAGTTGGGTATGCTAGCCTTTTTTTTCATTACGAATAAGGTTGACAACCACCTTATTGGTAATTTATGCTTTGATATGGATTCATTGTGTGAGTGTAATGTAACGGACGCGACTACTATAGTTATCTTTATTACTACTATTATTATTTTTCTTCTCATAAAAGTGTACTATTAGGGTTGTCGTGATCTCCCTGACTCATTAGTTTCTTTTTTATTTTTTTATGGGGATAATTGCTATTACACTCATTGTACTTTTATTTATTTATTAATATAAAATATATGTTTTTTTATGGACAAAATAGCCTTTTCAAAGTTTTTAAGGGCATTATTGGGTTTTAAATAAATATTGATCATGACATCAATAAAAGAAGTGAGGTGAAGTTTTACTTAGGTTTAAAATTAGAGGGTGAGGTTTGTGTTATATTTGAAATTAGAGGGGAGATTCATATTATTTAGGCAATCTATAGAGGAGATAAGTGCAATCATTTCTTTTATTTTTTTAAACGATTTTCAATTTTTCATTCAAAAAAATAAAAATGAAGCATCTTTCTCACCTGCTTGCAAAAAATTCGCTCTAAGATGGTATGTCTTGCTTTTGTCATTTATTTTGTTATTAAATTTATTTTTGGTTGGAAAATTTTGCACAATCAAACTATTTCTTTTAGTGGAGAATCCTATACTTAACTTGTAACGCCCCAAATTCCATGATCTGGTAAATTAACCAAGAATATCCAAACCTAACCCGATATCGAGTACGAAATGCAGAAACAAAAACCCACATTAGCCTACATGGCTAATGTGACCAAGAATGATGTGCCAAGTGAAGTCCAAATACGTCATAAGGTTCTAAGCCATATGGAAAAGGTTTCGATGCAAATCGTCACTATTAACATACGAAAAAAATGAATAGTCCTCAATAAAATGATCATAACTCACTCCGTGATTGGAAGTTTAGAATGGGAATAGTACCATTAGAAATTTGGATTCAAGACGGTCAATTTGAGTATAAGAATGACCTAATTCGAGTTTTAAATGAGCAAGATATGACCGTTTGTAATTAGAAGGTCAAAGTTGAGTGAAGTTGGGATGGAAGTTCGAACGTCCGGGGTGTAAGTTTGAACGTCCTAAATGGAAGTTCAAATGTCCGAGAGTCAAAAAAACTTTGATTCTGCCGTACAAATGCAATCGAATGTCCGAGCCCCAAAAAAAGTGCAAAAACACCCCTAAAGGTATCTAATGCCTTTGGCACCTCCTTGGTACCAAGTATGGTCAAAAACTAAGTTCACAATCCACCCCAAACATCATATAAGCACCCCAAAGTGGTCTAAAGTCATCCTTAAACCTATAAATCAAAGCATGAACATCATGAATCAAAATGTGATATCCCCTAATTTCAGAGACATGGGTTGATCAAGTCCACTTCCAAAATCATGGGATATTAAACAATTAATAATAAACAAACATAGAATATAAGAGGAAATAAAAATAAATAATTTAATCTCTCAAAAGGATAACTAAATGATAACTAATAAACCTCTGATACCAAAATCTCTAATTAAATCCATAAAAGGATAAATTTGTTAGTCACTAATTGACTCTAGAGAAGGGGGGGTTGAATAGAGTCAATGGTCAATTTTTGCAATTTATAAATTCTATTTCCAACTAATTATTATGCAATACACAATTGAAATATTCAAGCAATAGAAGGACAAGTAAAAGGAGATAGAGATAGGAAATTGCAAACAATGACTTGGCGATTTAGCGAGGTTTGGAAGCTCTTACTCCTCGGCTCAAGGTCCTCCCTTGAGACTTTCCAAAATCACTAGAGCTCATCCTTAATGGTGGAGAGGAAACCGTTAATTGAAGCAAGACCTTGTATCTCTTCCTTGCTAGGAGAACACCCTTCTCCTAGGCTTTGCTTTTGGGTCACACCAACCCTTACAAGATTGTAGAGATATATAAATGAAAATACAATTTTGTTTTTTTTGTTCTCTCTCTAGAAGATATTACAAGAATCAATCTCACACTAGAGTAAGTGGATGAAATAAATGAAGCTCTAGTCTCTTATCTAATATGAGAGAAGAAATGAGAAATAAATGCTCAGATTAGAATGTAGGGCTCTTTGAATGTTCTTGAATGCACTTGGATGATATACTTGAATGCTCTCTCAAAGAAGTACTTCTATTTGTAGACCAACCTTCTGTATTTGTAGAGATTTTGAGTTCAATAGAGTTGTTGCAGGTGGTTGGGAGCATTAATGAAATTTTAGCCGTTTGAAATTTGAATTTGTAAAGCTGCGACCAAACCGGTCGACATGTGGTATGAACCAATTGACGTTTTGGCATGAACCGGTCGACGTTAGCTGCAAACCGGTCGACGTATTCCTTTATGAACCAGTTGATGTATGCTGAATCCAATCGACGTGGAAGTGCCTTTTCTTGAAATTTGCTACTACATAGATACCGGTCGACATGTGTATCAAACCAGTCGACGTATATGAGTTCCTCCTTGAATTTTGCTACTGTTTAGATACCGGTTGACACTTGCAATAAACTAGTTGACGTGAGTTGCTTGATCATGCTATTTTGACATAGTAGCATATAAACACTCTTTAACTGGTTTGTTATCATCAAAACTAATGGATTAGGGTCATTTGATCAACAATCTCCCCCTTTTTGATGATGACAAATCACTCATGTGATCTTGAAATTATATATGGTTGTATTTTTAAAAAAAAATACCCCCCTATCAATTTGCACGTAGAATATATAATTATCATGTTTGAAGGAATATAATTTAAGTAGACATGACATAATATCTTTTCCTAGCCAATATCTAATTTTGGAAATGTTATCTCCCCCTGTTTACATGCTTCAAGTGATCATAATCATTTTATATCATAATGTTCATGAAATGTATAAATGACATTTTGTAATTAGCATAACATTTCAAGTGTACTGCAAAATGTCCATTGATTAATTAAGTTCAAGTGCATAGATCAGTTAAAATAAAAAAAAAAACAGCAAAATATCCATGATTGAATTAAGTATAAATGACTTTTTGTAATTAGCATAACATTTCAAAAAAAAAAGAGCAAAATATCCATGATTGAATTAAGCTACATAACAGCAAAAGATCAATGTACTGCCAAAATATCCACGGATAACTAAGGTCAAATGACAACTGAAAAAAAAATCTAAGCAAGGCCTAGACAACCCTAGATCACATCTTCTCCCCCTTTGTCACATCAAAAAGACGGGAAGGATAAACAGCTAGTGAGGTGGAAGATCGAAATTGGTGCACAACTCTTAGAGATTATCCTTCATGCTTCTCAGTTCTTCCCTTAGTATCATTACTTCCTCTTGAGTTTAACGAGAGACAGCCAGTTGTTGAAGGATTAGCTCGCGAATAGATGGTTTTGCAGGTGAACCAGCCTGCAAAGTGTCAAGAGGAATCTTAGTTTATGTATTAGCTGGAGGGATTTCATTATCATTTTGGTTCCTTCCTATTTCTTCCTCATCCGATTCTTCAGTTCCGCTTTCATTTTGTACATCACCTTCAATTTTCAGATCATACTAATTTCCATCATTATCTCTCTTTAATCTCATACGAAGAAGAGCCGATTTGTCAAAGCGATATTGAGATAGAAGCTTCATCTGAGGCTGTCTAGCAATCATAACCCTTTTTGCCCGGAAGATTTTAGTGAGAGGCATTGCGTATAATAGATGGGTATTCTGTTGGTTGACACAATCCATCATGTGATGGTAAATTAAGTGAGGCACATCAATTTTGCATCCCTTAAGTACGCACCAAGTCAAAAGAGCTTCCATGAAGGAAATGTCGGAATAGCCGCCGGACTTGGGAATGATAGAATGGACAATGACTCTATAGATTAATTGGGCTACCACGGTGAGGTCACTAGATTTTATGATATCAATGTCCTCGGTAGTTTTGTCATGACTGATATCACGAACAGCTGTGAGAGGATCAAAGTCATCACCTTCATACGAAGAATGAGTTTCATAGTGCCGGAGACCACCCTCGGGAAGATTCAATAACATTCTCAAATCACTCTTGCGAAGAGAAATTTCAACACTTAGGACATATGATTGAAGGCTATTTGTACCATCAATTTTCTTGAGGTGATTATAGAATAGGCGAACTAATTTTGGATAAAATGGAATTTCCATTGAGACAAAATCAGCTAATCCTACAGCTTTGAAAAGATCACAGGTATTGAGATTGTTGGCAATGCAATCGGCATTTGAGAGAGTTTTTCCATAAGCTACTTTATTTTGAAGAAATTTTGTTTCAAATGTCTCCTTATATTTAGGAGATAGGAAGAGCCTAAGGTTGTGAGGAGGAGGTGGGTTTGAAATGCTGGCTTCATGATCATGAGCAACCTTGGATCTCTTCTCTCGAGTTTGGGAAGAACAGGGTGGGTTTCTCCTAGGACTCATTGAGGTTTATAGTTTGAGTCTCGGATGGCAGAGTTAAGAGGGTAATAGAGAATATATGGAACTAATATTGATTGAAAGAATTAAAACAACTAAACCCTAATTTAAAGCAACAAAAATCGATGCAGAGAGAGCTGAAAAGCTTCAATGAATATATTTTTCATGAATTAAGCATGAATTGAAGATTGATGAACCGAAATATAAGAGAGAATTGATCTTTGAACCCTAAATTTGTTTTTACCAAAAAAGATTATGAGAGATTTAATACATAG